GCTCTTCAATGTGATCAGCGAATAATTTGAAATGACGGATTTAAGCAGCTGTTAAATGAAAGTCGGTAGCAAAGGCAGCAGCAACAATATTAAGAACTCCCTGTTGTCTGAGGCATGACAAGGCGTGCAGTTTGTGGGCCTCACTTGTCTCACACACAGACGCACATACATATTGAATGTCAGTGTGTGTGCGTTTGTATTTGCGGTTTATATTTAATGCGCCGTTCAATCAATTCCTTAGCTCCCTCCCCATCTGGCATCCTTTCTCTCAATAGTGTGGACTGCTGCTGCAGTGCACAATTCGAGACGCGTCATTATCCTTTCACGCAAAGCAAATGCTACGGCTGAATCTCCAGGAGCCGGAATATTATTGGCTATACGGCTTGAACCGCTTGCCTTGGCCATATCCTGTGGCCAGCTCAATCTTTGCATTTGCCTGACGTACGCTTATTTATTTATTTATTTATATTTATTGTCATGCTTGTTTATTGTTTTGCCTCTGATTGGCTTCGGCTGCGATTTCGGTTTGGGTCTCTTATGATATTGATTTTGGGCTTGGCTGGGCATACCGCACACTTGCCTCTCCAAAAGGGTAGCTGCCTATCCGCAGTCTTTTGATTTATTATCATTTATGAATAGTATGGAAATACAAATCAAATTTATATCTTTAAGGCCTTAAATCATTGTGAAAGCAACTTGCCGAAATATATTTAAGTTTCTTTTCATAAGGTATTTTCGTAGTCTGACAAGTTTTTTTTTCTCTTATAAAAAATTTCCACTCAAGCTGGCGACTGTCCCTTTTGCAAATTCTGCTGGCTCATGTCCCGTCTTTTATTTTATTTTTTATACCTTCTTCCATTTCTTTTTTTTTGCGCTTGTATTTTGTATTACTTGGTTGAAATCCCTCTTATTGGCGCATAGATTTATGGTTTTATGCTTAAATGATTGTTTGCTTTGCGAAGGGGCCAGAAAAAGTCCATAAAAAAGTGGGAAAAGAAACCAAAAAACAAACGCCCATATCAAATGCAAATGCGATAATCAAGTTATAAATTTATGTATTTAAACTCATAAATTGCGGGCGAAAGAGAAAATGTTTTCAAAGTGTAGTGCGTTGCGCCCTCATTTATCGATATACATATATATAAAATGTGTGTGGGTGTGTGTGTGTGCCACAGTGATATTTATTGCCGGAAATCACATATTTCCGCTCGGTTTTTCGGGGACGACAGAGCCATTAATGAGCACCACAATTAAATTTTTCATTCTGCAAAGTGACATAAAATGAGGTGGAATAATAATAAAAAAAAAAGAGAGAAGAAAACAAAGGAAAATACATAAATGTATGCAAAATATTAAAACAGCAAATCCCTTTATTGTGTGCGGATGTCTCTCTCACTCATTTACTCTCTCGCTCTCTCTCTCTCTCTCTCTCTCTCTCTCTCTCTTTCTGTGCGCTGCCTTATTTTGCAGGCATAATATAAAACATCCTGTTGCCGGTTAACAGCCGGCTGCCTGGCTGGCTGCCTGACTGCCTGGTTGCCTGCCTTGATTGTTGTTGTTGTCATAAATAACCCAGAAAAAGGTGTAGATTCAGGCGAGTGTGTAAATTGTGTGTGTGACTGGCTTAAATTTGCTGCGTTATTTGCGTCATTTCCGCAGCAAATCAACACGAAAACACCAAGGACAATACACACACACATGCTCAAAATAACAAAAGCCCCTAAAGTCAACAAAAAGTTTATATGTATATGTAGATTTTAAATGGAATTTATATATAGATATATTTACAAGAGTGTGTCCTGCGTGTCTATGTGTGTGTGTGTGTGTGTGTGTGTGTGGGTTTAATCAGCCAATCAATTTCATATACATATTTTAACACTTCAATGCACTCTAAAGAATCAAGTTTCGTGCCGCTCCACTAGGCCCCAAGCTAAATATATATATACATAT